GGCTCTCTGGGCTGGAACAGCTCAGCTTTCTTGGGATGGAGTGAAGCTCCTTACTGAAAAAGTGCAGATCATGAGAAAGTCTACACATGGGGTCATGAGGTCCCTAGCGCACTGACAGAATGGCTCATCAGGAGGAGAGTGGAAGGATCTTCTCCAGAGGAGCAGCTTGGCCTTGTGGGGTCAGCACTGGGAGGAACAACTATCCACAAGCCCCAAACCCAGCATATACACACACAGTTTCTTTTTTTTTTTTTTACAGTTAACATATTTTATTAGTTTCAGGGTTACAACATAGTGATTAGACATTTACATAACTTACGAAGTGATCACCCCAAGTCTTTTGTAGATTACACCATACATAGTTATTACAATATTATTGACTATATTCCCTATGTTATATTTATATTCCTATGACTATTTTCATGATTGGTCATTTGTACCTCCAAACCACCTCCCATCTGGCAACCATCAAAATGTTCTCTCTATCTATGAGTTTGTTTCCGTTTTGTTTGTTTATTTTGTTTTTTAGATTCCACATATAAGTTAAATTGTATGGTGTTTGTCTTTCTCTGTCTGACTTATTTCACCTAGCATATATCCTCTAGGTCCACCCATGTTATTGAAGATGGCAAGATTTCATTCTTTTTATGGTTCAGTAATATTCCATTGTAGATATCTATATACACCACCTCTTCTTTATCCATTTGTCTATCAAAGGACACTTAGGTTGCTTCTATATCTTGGCTATTGTGAATAACACTGCAATGAACATGTGGATGCATATGCCTTTTCAAGTTACTGTTTTGAGTTCCTTTGGATAAATACCCAGAAGTGGAATTGCTGGGTCCTTCTTTGTGTCTTGTTATAGCCCTTGTTTTAAAGTCTGTTTTGCGTGGTATAAGTATTGCTACCTCAGCTTTTCTTTTTCAGTCCCATTTTCATGAGATATCCTTTTCCATCCCTTTACTTTCATTCTGTGTGTGTCCTTCTATCTGAATTTAGTCTCCTCTAGGCAGTATATGTAAGGGTCTTCTTTTCTTATCCATTCAGCCAACCTATGTATTTTGATTGAAGAATTTAATTCATTTACATTTAATGTAATTATTGATAGATGTGTAGTTATTGCCACTGCATTCATATTTTATATCTTTCTTTTTTTTCTTAAAGAAGTCCTTTTAACATTTCTTGTTAAACTGGTTTGGTCTTGATGAACTCCTTTAGCTTTTTCTTGTCTGAGAAGCTTTATCTGCCCTTCAATTCTAAATTATGGTTTTGCTGGGTATAGTAATCTTGGTCGTAGGTCCTTGTTTTTTATCACTTTGAATATTTCATGCCAATTCCTTCTGGCCTGAAAAGTTTCTGTTGAGAAATTAGCTAACATCTTATGGGAGCTCCTTTGTAAGTAACAAATTGCTTTTCTCTTGCTGCTTTTAAGACTCTCTCTTTGACTTTAACCTCTGGCATTTTAATTATGATGTGTCTTGGTGTGAGCCTCTTTGGCTTCATCTTGCTTGGGACTCTATGCTCCCTGGACTTATATGTCTATTTCCTTCACCAAGTTAGAAAAGTTTTTTGTCATTATTTCTTCAAATAGATTTTCAGTCCCCTGCTTTCTGTCTTCTCCTCCTGATACCCCTATGATGCAAATGTTGGTATACTTGATGTTGTCCCAGAGGCCCCTTAAACTATGCTCATTTTTTAAGATTTTTTGTTTTCTTGTTCCTGTCCTGATTGCTTTCTGCTACCTTGTCTTCCAAACTGCTGATTTAGTCTTCTGCTTCATCAAATCTACTGTTGATTCCCTCTCATGCATCCTTTATTTTAGTTATTGTATTCCTAATTTCTGACTGGTTCTTTTTTATGTTTTCTATCTCTTTTTTTGTTGTCTATCTCCATTTTTAATGTTTTCTATATATTTTTTAAAGTTCTCACTGAGATCATCTACTCTATCCCTAAGTTCATGGAGCATCCTTATAACCAGTGTATTGAACTTTGCACCTGGTAGATTATTTGTCTCCATTAAACTTAGTTATTTTTCTATAGTTCTGTTCTGTTCTTTCATTTAGGACATGTTTCTTTGTCTCCTCATTTTGGCTGCCTCCTTCTGTTTGTTTATGTGTATTAGGTAGATCTTCTATGTTTCACGGTCTTGGTAGAGTGGCCTTATGTAGTAGATGTCTTGTGGGACCCAGTGGCACAGTCTCCCTGGTCATCTGAGCTGGGTGCTCCAGGGATGTCCTTTGTATGGTGTGTCTGTGCCTCCCTGTTGTGGTTGAGCCTTGATTGCTGTGGGCACATCAATGGGAGGCATGGTCCTCAGACTGACTGGTTGTGAGGACTAGCTGTGACTATAGTTATGACTATAGTTTGTGCTGGGGCTTTCCATACAGGACAGGATTAGCTTTAGCAGGGCTCTGGTGCATGCCAAGTCTGCTCTTTGGGTGTGTTACTTGTGAAAGTGGTTGAGTGGCATTCTGGTGTGTCCTAAAGCTAGCCACTGGGTGTGCTGATTCTGGGGCCTCTTGGAAGGGGCTCTGGTGAAGGTCAAAGTCAGCCATTGCCTGCACCCAGCCCAGGGTCAACTAGTAGGAGCTACAAATTGATCAGCAGATGTTTACCACCTAAGCTGGGCTTAGATGCACCTGGGAGAGGCTAAGCTGCAAATCAAGTCTGGCTGCCATTAGTGCCAGGCTTGAGGATGCTTAGCAAGAGGTACAAGGCACACCAAGGCCAAATGCTGCTTGTTTGTGGTTTGTCAGCCTTTGAGAGATTTTAAGAAAGTTTGTAGCATGAACCAAAACAGGCTGTTGGTGTGAAAAAAGCTGTTGGAAGTGATTTGAGCCAGGAGCTCAAGTTAGGTGTGGTAGAGTATCAGGGAATAACAAGGGCCAGGCGAACAGTGTTTGCCAGGTTAATGAAGCATTCAGATTTGGTGCCGGCCTGTACCTGCCAGTGTGTGAGGGGAGGGCTCATCAAAGGAACAGTGATGTTTGCCAGCACTTCTGCTCCCGTCATGAGCTGCCTCGACTACTGCCTCTCCAGCACTGGCCTTGAAACTAGTCATTTAGCTCCTCCCTGTACCTTCCCAGTGCTTTTCAAGCTGCTGTCTTAGTGCTGGAGCTCAAAGAAAGTGAATCCATGAGAGAGTTATTCTATGCATAGTCTCTTTAAGTCCTGCAGTGCTCAGATTTCCAGCAATCCTCCATCTTAGCCACAATCCTCACTGGTTTTCACAGCCAAAAGTTATGGAGGCTTCTCTTCTCAGCACTGGAGCCCTGGGCTGGGGAGCTCCATGTGAAGCTGGGATCCCTTGCTCCTCAGAGGAGACCTCTGCAACCAACTTTTCCCTCCTGTTTCTTAACCACCACATTGTGGGTCTGGGGCCTATTTATTTCACATCTCTGCCTCTCCTACCATTCTCAATGTGGCTTCTTTTCCATATGTGTAGTTATAGGCATTCTGTTCAGCAAGTTTTCAAGTGGTTCTTAATGATGATTGTTCCGTAATTTAATTATAATTTTTATATGGTCCTGGGAGAAGCTGAGCATAGCATTTACCTACTCTGCCATCTTGACTGGAAGCCGGTCATTTTTATGTTTTAAACTGTATTAAGGTATAGTTAATGTATGGTTATGTGCACACGCCATAAATGTCCAGCTGGGCAAATTTTAACTAACTGAACATACCTGTGCCACCAGGTACCAGATTAAGAAATAGAATATACCAGCATCCCAGAAGCTCTCTCACCCCTCCCAGCCCCCATCCCATTTCAAAGATAACTGCTATCCTGACTTCTGGCAGCATAGGTTTGCTTTGCCTGTTTTTATGCATTATGTAAATGAATCATGCATGTGCACTGCTTCACATCTGGCTGCTTTTGTTGAACATCATATTTGTGAGAGTCGCCTGTATAAACATGTGTATAGATTGTTCATTCTCACTGCTGCATAGTATCCCATTGTGGGAATATACTGTTTTATCCATTCTACCATTGATGGGCATTTGGGTAATTTCCAGTTTCAACTCTTACAAATACTCATCATGTGTTTATTCAGCTTTTAGTGCCTCTCTTTAAATATGAATAGACAGGCAAGGATCACCTAGAGAAAGCCTTTAATGTGGACAATATAGAGTAAACAGAGAGTCTCAGGGCTTTTGATGTAGGCAACAGAACAAAAATTCAAAGAAAACTGAAACAAATATCTTCAGAGAGATAAGGGAAGATCTGTAAAAGAACCATGAGATGTCTAACAAAGAAATCCAGACAACTATTTCTATACAACTCTTAGAAATTAATTATGTGGGAGCACAAATTTAAAAATTCAATAAGATGACTGGAAGACAAAGTTGAGGAAATGACAAAAGGGAAGAAAACATTAGAAAGTCAGACAGTCAATCTAAGAAGTCCAAAGCCTGAGTAATAGGAATTCAGAGAGAAGAAAGAAAATTAAGGAGAGAAAATTATCCAAAAAGGGAATGTTATAGAACTGAATAACATTTGTTTCCACACTGACAAGCCTCACTAAGGCCCAATAAATGAAAAAAGACACAAACCAAGGTACATCACGGTAAAGTTTCAGAACACTGAAAGCAGAGACACCATAAATGACTCTAGTAGGCCAAAACAGCTCACATACAAAGGACCAGGATTCCAGGCATGCCCACCCTCTCCACAGCGATCCTGAAAGCTGGAGGACAATGATGCACTGGCTCTGAATGATGAAGAAAAATATACTCCTATATAGAATTTGATACTCAGCCAAATTGTTATCAAGTAAAATGTAAAATACAATCTTTTTAACACATAAGGTCTCAAATATTTTGCCTCCTGCATACACATTTATGAAGGAACATACTTGAGAATGCACTCAGTCTATATGCAGCACAAACTAGGAAAGAAGAAGGCATCAGGACCTCCTCCCCCGAGAATGGAACCCAGGACTAAAGTAAAGAGGACTTCCAGGTAATGAGGAATGTAAGACCTAAGACCACAGCAACAGTCAGTTTAAACATCCAGGCTCTAGGGGGATATCACCAAGAAAAATTAAAATTGGTGGATTACTATCGTGGTTGAATAATTCTTCTTCTTCGTCTTCGTCGTCGTCGTCTTCTTCTTCTTCTTCGTTGTCGTCGTCTTCTTCTGCGTCTTCTTCTTGGTCTTCTTGGTCTTCTTGGTCTTCTTCGTCTTCGTAGTCTTCGTCGTCTTCTTCGTCTTCTTCATCTTCTTCTTCTTCGTCTTCTTCGTCTTCGTCTTCTTCTTCGTCTTCTTCGTCGTCTTCTTCTTCGTCTTCGTCTTCCTCTTCGTCTTCCTCTCCCTCCTCCTCCTCCTCTTCATATAAAAAAATGGAGCAATTTTAAGGGGAAAGCTGCACAAGAAAAATATGTGATCACAGTATACTATGTGTCTCAATTATGAACAGCATTAGACCACCAGAGCAATATAAACTCTGAACATTGATTTAACAAAAACCTGATATAACTATAACAATAAAGGTAGAACATGAAGATGAGAAGTGTGTATGAAGGAGAGGAATATACACAAGCTACTTCCTGATAGTACAAAGATGTAATTCAGCAAATAATGTCTAATATTTAAATGCTTAGAATTAGTAGTATAGTTTTGTCACTGAGACAGATCACACAGAAAAGGCATCTAAAAGGGTTAAAAATAGTTGCCTCAAGGGAGTGGACTTGAATAGGAGATGGGATAAAACTTTTATTTTAAGCTCGAGAATGTTACATTTGAATTTTTAAGCTCTACACATTTTATTATGTTAAAAAATAAGCACACAAAAAAGTCTCTATTCACAAGTAAATAAAACGAGATATAACTAATATACAGGCCCTTTGCCTGGAAATTTTAAAGCTCTCAAGCAACATTTGAATCAAAGAAGAAATCAAAACTCAAATTTGGAATATCCAGAAATAATAAAAATAATACATTAGAGCTAATGTTCTCCAGAGAAATATTCATAGCCTTAAATATTTATATTAATAAATAAGAAGCAATGAAAAAATTGAATTAAATATTCCTATGATTCTGACATCAATTTCAATGTATATATTATTTTAATAGCTACCAAGAAATTCTCAAACTCCAGCTGAGTATCCTACAATTCAACTCAATTCTGACACTGTCTACCTGGAGATAGAATCAGATTACACAGTGTAGGGAGCTAAAGCTCCCCAAATTCAAAAGAGTGCATGGATTATCTCGGTAGGCCTGCTTGCATAAAAAAGGGAAAAGGCTGGTTCTGTGGAATTCCAGGAAGAAGAAGATTAAGTATAGACAAAGGGAGTGTCGAAGGGAGTGTCAAAGGGAGTGTCGATTGTACCTAGATCTTCAGGATGTTACTTTAATTATGTTATCTTGGGATACACAAAGGAACAGATTATGTATAAAAAGGAGCCTAAGAAATAAACTCGGAGAGACAGTTGTGAGATCTGTTCTCCCTCCTGCACCCTGTCTGTCTTCTCTTTTTTCTCAGTCCCCGCTCCCCCATTCAGGTACCCGGTTTGACTTGGTCGGCTGGTTTCCGACAACACAAGTTAAGGGTTCAGTCCCACAAGAGTGTTCCCCACACCCCTTCAGATCCCAATTATAAGTCCAGCTTATCACCTGTGCTTCTGACCAAACAGCTGTAAATCAGAGGTTCTCAAGACTTCCTCCTAGATTTGATTAATTTACTAGAATAGCTTGCAAAACTCAGAGAAACATTTTGCTTCCTAATTACCAGTTTATTATAAAAGGATATAACTAAGTTAGCCAGAGGTAAGAGATGCATAAGGCAAGGTATGGGTAAAGGACTCTCTCTGAGCACACTACTCTTCCCCTAATCTCCATGTGTTCACCAACAGGAAGCTCTCTAAACTCATCCTTTTGGGTTTTATGGAGACTTCATTACATAGGCATGATTGATCAAATCATTGGCCATTGGTGATTGACTCAATCTCCAGCCCCTACCTCTTCCCTGAGGTGGGGGGCAGATGACATTGAAAGTTCTAAATAACTAATCACCTATAATCAACTGCAACCCCTATGTGACCAAAGAGCTTTCTAAAAGTCACCTTATGAACATAACAAAGACATCCTCATCGTTCATCGCTTAGGCAATTCCAAGGGTTTTAGGAGCTCTGTGTCAGGTACTGAGATGAAGAATATATATTTCTTATTATAAATCATGACATCAAAATCTGACTCAGGAGGTTAGAAAAAGAACAAAATAATCCTGGCCATTCTTTTTGGCTGTCCAGCATGTACACTTTCTGTGAGCAGAGCACCCCCCTACCCCAATCCCCAAAAAAGGCTCTCCTTCCCAGCCCCATGCATCAGGGCTTTGAGCTCATGGTAAAACTAGGGCTTCTCCAGCTGTAATGGGTGTGGTCAGCAGGCTCTAAGATTGCCCCAGCATCCCCATCCTTTGGCAGTCACACCCATGTAGTCCCTCCCAGTCTGAGTGGGGCCAACCTGTGAAATGATATGTGTGACTTTGAAAGCTAGGTCATAGTAGGCACTAGGGCTTCCTCCTGGTTTTCTCTTGGACCACTTGCTCTGGGGCAGCTAGCCACCGTGTTGTAAGAACACTCAAGCAGTCCCATGGAGTGGAGGGGCCCCATAAAGAGGAACTCCCACCTCCTGCCACACCAGTATTAATTTACCAGTGAGTGGCTACCTTGAAAGTGGACCCTCTACCCTCAGTCAAGCCTTCAGATGACCACAGCTTTGGCTAACATCCAGCTAAGCCACACTCTGAGCCTCAGAAACAGTGTGAGATTATTAGTGTATATTGTATTAAGCCACTACGTTTTGGAGTGATTTGTCATGTAGCAATAGTTAGTTAATATGATGGCACACAAACCATCTGGGAATCTTGTAAAATGCAGATTCTCTCTCAGTCTTCTGGGTGAGGCCTAAGATTTGGCACTTTAACAAAGTCCTAATGATGTCAATGGCTGGCCAGTAGTTAGTGCTTGAAGAGTGAGGATTCAGCTCCACAACCAGAAGACCCCACTCTCAACCTGAATGGAAAGCAAATAAGCAGAGACCATGGTAAGGGCAGGAGGGCCCAGTGTACTGTGACAGTGGTGAGGACAGTACCAGTCCAGTGCAGCAGCAGTGACAGCAGTGGTGTGCCCGGCCTTACAGAGCGACTTCACCATGCAGACTCCTGGAGGTCCTGTGAGGTACTGCATAGCCTCTCAATAAATTCTGGTTCTGTTGAAATTAAAGTTGGTTTCTGTTTGCCGGCAACTGGGAATCCTAGCTGATAGAACTGGTCAGTGCTAGGAAACACTTACTGGTCAAAGTTGCAACTCAATGTCATCACATAAACAAGGAGAATACTTCCACCTGGCCTCACAGGGCATGCCCACCTAGCACAGTGCCGGAAACTGTGTGTAAATGACTTTGCCATAGTGAGGCCTAGCACCTAAAGATTAGAAGAAAAAGTTACAGGCCAAGCCCTTCCTGGGATACGGGCCCTGTGACAGGGGAGTGGGCCCAGTGGAACTACAGGGCTGGGACCTCTTAGAGAGGTCTTAGGAACAGTCCATCATTAATGTTTAACTGAAAGTAACGAAGTCAGAAATACTTTTAAGGAATGATGTAATATACAAGGCTCTGAGTTTATACTCCCTGATGCTGAGGAAACATGAGAAAACTGGGAGAATCAAGCTGGGCCCAAGCAACAAGGCCTGGGCCTCCTGCATTGATGGGGCCAGGCTGCCCGTAAGAGTGAGACTGCTGAGTGCTAGATTCAAAGATAGCTCATCACCAGGCAAGCTAAGTGGAGGAAGGTAGAGAAACTAGCTTCTTGCCCAGTGGAACATGTTTTGTTTTGTTAAAGATGAACTGGAACTTTAAGCAAACAATCAGTGGGGAGGCTCTATGGTAGGAGCTAGGGCTTATGGAAGTTCTCACACTTTGTGAAATCCTGAGAACCCTACAGGAAAAACTCTATGTTTATAATAAAGCTCTATGGTTCTAACTTCCCCTTCCATTAACTTCCTTTTCCCTTCTATTAATACTTGTCTATTTTGACATGTAGACCAGAGTGTGCATGCACATGGTTCACCATGTACTAGGTTGCAACCCTTTCTTTTTCCCAAATAAATCCTTTTGGTGAATTAACACCTAATCGATATATCAAGGACATCTGGACCCCCGAGTCAAGTGTGGAGAGTGTGGTTGCGAGTGAACAGAGCTTCAGTGGCAAAGTGTTAGAATAATGAGCTTGCTGTCAGGTGCCTTGGAAGGGCAGGAAAAGGCAGTCCTGGGTGCTGAGTCACCTTGAGTGGGAAGCAGGAGAAGTCAGCACAGGGGGCGAGTATGCTACCCATGGGGCAGTGTGTGAGGACATAGTCTTTCCATCAGGGAGTATACATAGATCCTCCCTACTCCCAAATCCTGGCTTATCCAAATGCAGGGAAAGGATATCCTAGGTGACAGAGGGCCAAGCTGGCCAAGCATCATGTCAGTTTGACTCCAGCGCCTGACAGACATGAGGACCTTAAAGCCATCAGGGTTCTTGATTGCAAACAGAAATTCCATGTACTGAGTATCAGAGCTAGCTGGCAGGCTCTCCAGGAGGCCTGGAGAACAGAAGAAAGAGGAAGCAGGCAGGAAAAGCTACATCAGGACCACAGCCAAAATCACATCTCAAAGCCAGAGTCGTGAGGAGTCCACATGGGTGGCATGGAGTGGCAAGGTGTCACCCTTGCACAGACCCTGTCACTGGCAAGCAAGGAGCCTTGGAGAGTCTGATCAGAGGGTCTGGTTACGAAGAGTGTAGACGTAGGCCACCTGTAACGTCTTGGCTGCAAAGGAGTCTGGGAACAGGAGCCTCACATTAGAGCTCTGAATTGGAAGATCTGCAAGACTCAGGAGGTGGAGCCGGCCAGACAGGTGGGACAGCTGCAGAGAAGTCACACTCATTTAGTGAGAAAGGAGAATAATGTGCACTCAAGGGCTCTGCCAGCCACAGTGCCGGCCTGAAGAATACCAGACCCTCTGCTTTTGGACGTCCTTGTGAAAAAAGGGCCACATACTAATCCTGACAAGCTCAGGAGAGGCCAGAATGATGGGCTCTAAAAACTCCAGGACTCAAAAGTAACTACAAAGGATGGTCCAAACATAAAAATTCCTAGCTAAAAGTGGGTCATGATGGATAGTCACGTCCTAGACCTGTAGCTTTCTTGACAAAGGTCAATCTTTACTCTAACTGAGCCTATTTTGTCTTTTTACATCTAAGATAACATACCTTTGAAATGTCAGAGTAATCTTTTCCAGACCCCTCAGAGCACAACCGCTACACCAGAGCACAAGACCACAGAGCCACTAATTGTTATCTTGTTCCTAGAATACCATCTCTGTGTGCTGTAACTGTCAATTATTAACTATCTTGTACACACCAATGTAAAAGAAGCATGTGTCTTTTCGTTTTATTTGTAATGCAATCCCAGAGATTTTCCCACTTTGCTTTTTCCCACCCTCTTACTACAACCAATAAATTTCATGTAACCCTCCTGACATGTCCTCCTTTGATGCTAATGTATAAAATAAACTGCAAAACTGCCATTCTCTGGAGTGTTTTCTCGCTCTGTTGAGATTTTGCTCCCCAGCAGTTGTCAGTTTGGCTCAAATAAACTCATAAAAATTCTATACAGGTCTGGACATTTCTTATGTTGATATTCTCCAGGGCATGCAGGGAACTTGAAACACTCAAGGACACTTCAGACTCCAGCCATCTTCCGCAGACATAGTGACCCGGTTTGGAATGTCCGTGTCCTAGGAAATCACTCTTCTGTTCCTGCCTGACGAAGGGGTCCATGCTTTTCTTGCAAAGCAAGCTTGTAGCACAAACACAGATACGTTGTCGAATTATCTGCCAAACACAAGCAGAAAAGAGTCTCTTCATTTTACCAGCACAGAACTGGCCACATAGCTGCTTGCTGATAAAGCCTGAGAACTAACTGCAGATGCCTCGTGTGCACCCCAGCCCAGTTTATATGGGGGAGTCTCCTTAGGGATAGAGCAGGAACTACTTGCCTCATGTGGGAAGGCACACTGAACATCCCCTGCCCCCAGAGACGGCAGCCCACCACACTACGTCATCAACTCCCTTGGGCTACTCTAACAAAGACTACAGACTAGTTGGCTTAAAATGCAGACATTTATATTCTCATAGTCCTGGAGGCTGGAATTCTGAGGTCAGAATGTCAGCAGGGGTGGTTCCTTCCAGACTTCTCTCCTTGGCGTGTAGATAGCCATCTTCTCCCAGTGTCTTCTCACATGGTCCTCCCTATGTGTGTGTCTGTGTCCTAATCTCCTTTTCTTATGATGACAACAATACTGTTAGATGAAGGCCCACCCTAGTGACCTCATTTTACCTTAATTACCTCTTTAAAGGTCCAATCTCCAAATACAGTCACATTCTGAGATCCTGGGGATTAGGACTTACACATGTGAATTTGCGAGACATAATTCAGCCTATAATACTGCTGCTTAATTAGAGTTGCCAAATTTAGCAAATTAAAACATAGGACACCCAGTTGAATCTGAATTTCAGATAAGCAATAAATAATTTTCTGTTGTTTACCTCAAATTCAATTTTAACTGGGTGTCCTGCATTTTATCTGGCAACCCCCTGCTTAATAAACCACTCCAAACTCCGTGGCTTAAAATCCCAAGTATTAATTGTTCACAGACCCACAATTCAGCTATTTGGAGTCAGCTGGTCTTGGATGGCCAGGACAGCTGGCCTCTCCTCCATGTGGCCTTTCATCCTCCAGCTTGTTGGCCCAGGTTTGTTCCTGTGATCCAAGAGAAATGGAATGCTGCAAGGCCTCTTGAGGCCCAGGCTCAGAACTGGCACACCAACACTTGGGCCATATTTTGTGGGTCAAATCACATCACAGGGCTAGCCCAGATTCCAAGGGCAGAAAAATGGACCCTGCATCCTCTTGGGAAGGGCAGCACAGGGAATAACAGGGAGAATAGGGAGCGGGGACACTTGCAATAGATCTATCCTGGCATCCTTGGAACCCCAGCCCTGAGCCCACCATGACCTCTACATGGCATGGGGTAGGGAGGAAGGAGTTTGGACCCAGAGCTCTGTGAGCAAGTCAGAGTTGAGAGCCATCGTCAGTGGGGAGCAATGATTCTTAGGGCACTGAGGTGCAGCTGCTCTGCTCTGAGAGAGGAGAAGTTATATCGGTCATAACTAATTAGGGCACTGTTCTAGGTGCAGAAGATACAGCAGGGACCAAGATAGGCAAAAGCCCTGGTTTTACAGGGCAATAAACAAGATAAGTAAAATGATGGTTTTATGTACATGGGAGAAAAATATAGCAGAATAGAGAACCCAAGACAGGTGGGTGGAAATGGCCATTTCAAATAGGGTGGTTGGAAATCTCACTGAAAAGGTGGCACCTGAGAACATGGATGGAGAATTCAGACTAGTAAACCTCAGAATTACTAGCCCTTGATGTGTATTGAGTTTCTAGAATCCAATGTTCATAAACTGTAGGCCTTAAGCCAGGAGACAGACCATCCATTCCTCATGCCGGCCCTTCCCAAAAGATCTGCCAGCCCCTCCTTCACAGAGCTGCAGGGAAATTTCTTCTCCTGACACCAATCCAACCTCATGGTGGGAGATGTTCTAAGAGTCAGTTGCTATGGGAAGTATTTCAACTGGCAGGAATTCAAAAGTCAAGATTGGCTGCCTCTCAGTCTTCGAGGGCCTCCACCTGAGAGAATTAATGGGCCTTTGTCAGGCCCACTGAGAACTCGCCCTGGGCAGAGTGGGTCTGCAGCTCTGCTACCGCGCCCTAACCCAGGATTATCAACAAGCAATAACAAGCGATGTGCCAGGGCTTCATGTCCTTTCCACTGATGTCCAAGCAGAATCCCAGCTGTTCATTGACCTCTGTAGGTGGAGGCAGAAGGGGACAGTGTCTACTAGTGGGCAATTAAGCTGAGAAACACTCTGATCTCACAACTGCTGGCCACAGCAGCTCTGTACAGACACCCCTGATACCAGCTACGGGATCCTGGGCTGCAGAGACAAGAGGAGGCTTCTACAGGTAAACCAGAGACAGAGGACTGCTGGATAAGACCCCCAGATTTTGACAAAGGCCAGTGAGGAATACCTTTGTAAGGAACTATCAGAAGCTGGGGCTGGGGCTGTAACACTTCTTGATGACATTCTATGATCTGAATCACCCACAGATCATCCACTGAAATAACTGTGATCTGTTGGATAGCTGGGTTCAATTGGGGCGGGGAGCAACAGGGAGACCTCTCACCTCCTGTAATGCTCCACAAGGGGATGGAAGGTTAGTAGGAACAAGAGAAGATGAAAACAGGAAATACATGGTAGGATGCAGGCTCTTCTCCCCCATGGGAAGCATGAGCCCTACCCTCTAAAACCTTCATCAGAGGCATTGGGTTCAAAGCTTGTAGGACGCAGACAAAGGGCAAAAATGCAGCTCACAGTAGTGTGGTCAGCTGGGAGGGCCCCTGTACTTGTGAGGGCTTGTTGCACAAAACAGAAACCATTTCAGTGATTTCAAGAGAAAGGTGTTGAACAATGGAATGAAGTCCTTGCATCATTACTGGATTGGCCAAGAAATGGCCTCTGGATGGGGCCTCTGGGTAGTCCCCACTGAGAGTGTTAGTATCCAGAACATTCTGCTACGTCTGTGATGCAAGGATCAGGAAGACATCGGATCGAAACTGCAGAACACCAAAGATGAAAAGCAGATCCTAAAACTAGCAGGGAAAAGAGAAAATCTCCTTCAAGGAAAGACAATTAAACTAATGGCCAACTTAAGAGCAATAATGGAGGCCATAGAACAATATATTAATATCTTCAAAGCTCTGAGTGAAAATTACTCAACAAATTTGTGTACCTGGTAAAACTATCTTTCAAAAAAGTGGGTAAAATGAAATAAAGATAATTCGGAAGAAAAAAACAAATTTTTTTCTTTTGTTGCACAGGCAACAAAAGGAAAAATAGACATTGGACCTCGTTAAAATTAAAAACTTTTATGCATCAAAGAACAGTATCAATAGAGTAAACAAGTAATTCATAGAATAGGATAAAATATTTGCAAATCACAATACGCAAGAGGTAGAAACAACCCAAGTGTCCATTGACAGGTGAATGGCTAAACAAAATGTGGTCTATACATAAAATGGGATATTATTCTGCCCTAACAAAGAAGGAAAATCTGATATGTGCTACAACATGGATGAACCTCGAAGGTATTATGCTTATGTGAAATAAGCCAGTCACTAAAATACTGTATGATTCCATTCGTATGAAGTCCCCAGAGTGGTCAAATTCATAGAGACAGAAAGTAGAGTGGTGGGTGCCAGTGGCTGGGGTGTGGTGCAGAGAATGGGGAGTTTTTGTTTAATGGGTTCAGAGGTTCAGTTTGGGAAGATTAAAATTTGTGGAGCTCGATGGTGGTGATGATTGAACAGCATTGTGAATGTATGAAATCCCACTAAATTTTAAAATAATTATGAAAGTAAATTATATCTTATGGGTATTTTACTACAATTTAAAATTTTTTAATGAAACAAAATTTATTGCCAGTAACAGATTCAAAAGAGCTTATATTTGGTATTTCTGTTTTTCAGAGTTCCTTTTCCCCTGTCTTTCCCAGACACCACCCTGCCTGCCAGCTCCAAACTCTCCTTCCTGGATTCTATTCTACACCCCTGAATCTAATATCATACTTCTCATACTTTTTTCCCCTCCCTCTTCTCCTCCCCTCTGGTAACCATTAGTCCGTTGTCCATGTCCATGAGACTCTCATTCTCCTGTTTAGTTGTTGCTTTTAGGTTATATTCCACATATAAGTGATACCATGCGATTTTCAACCTTCTCTGTCTGGCTTATTTTACTTAATATGAATATTTCAAGT